TGGAGCTAACCTTCTTTGTCCAGGGGTATTGTTAGCAATGAAAGAGCAGATAGTTTAGCTGGCACTGCCATAGCTTCAAATTACCAGCCTATGGATCAGGCTGACAATATGAGCGAGTGAGCGACGTTCAACCCTACTAGGACCGCAAGAGCGATAAATACCCAGTGACACAAAGTGCTACCATTCAGATTAGAACGGCCCAGGCCCAAATTCCAGAAACGCCGTTCTACCTTTAGGTTATATTTAGGGCTCCGACAACAGCCGGGATAAGGCTTTAAAAATAACCAAACAATTGCATCCCACATTTGGTCAGATTAAGTTATGTTCAACCCCACCATGAACACACACCAAGTGATAAACACCAGGTGACACAAAGTGCCACTATTTGGATACGAATTACCCAGAAACCTCTTTCAACCATTAGGTTATATTAGGGCCCTCGACCACAGTCAGGTTGGGGCTTAAAAATAACAAACTGCGACCCATACTGGGAAGGGTTCTAGCATATGCAAAATCTGTGGGCCAGATTTACTAACACTGTTAATGCCCTTTTCTATACTATAAATCACAAACCCTTACATTTTAAATGAAATGTTAGCCACTCCCAAACCGTGACCAATACGTGAGTAACATTTTCTATTGCCATTAGGGGCAGTCGCCGCGGCTAGACGCTCGCTGCGGATCGGTAGGTCATGGGTTTGCTCCCTGGTGGTGCTGGACTTTTTAAAAAAATTAGAATTTCTTCCAGATGTACACCAGCCTCAGGTAGGTACAGGCGCAGTCCCTGGAAGTAAAGGCGGCCAGCGTGATGCTCACCACATTGGCCAATTTGTGCCGATTGGTCTATAAAAATAGGTCTAGCCCTATATGCCTAAAGTTGTGGAAAAGGGTCCTTCACTTATAAGGCTATAAAGTTTAATTTAACAGTAATATTGGCGGTCAGGTTATGGTTCATTAATTTTATTCATTGCAAAAATTTGTAAAAGTAAACTTTCACAAGAGTTATATCCCTTTGAATATTTTTTCCTTTTACATTCCTCACATTATTTAAAAAAAAAAAATTTACATTTCATTGTTATTTATTGTTTAAATGTAGACAGTAAGATAGGGGTATGTGAGAAGGTTGTTGCTTTATCAGTCAGATTTGGGGAACTGCCAACATACTGAATTGTAACCTCAGTCACTACCACATCACTCCAAAGGGCGCCAGTGTGGCGGTAGTGATAACTGGGAAGACCTGGTCTAGGGTGCTCCTACCACTCCACCTCGGGCCGTGGCTCAGGGGCCAGCTCCCACACCAGAAACAATTTATTTGCTGTTGAAAATTCAGAGAATCAACAGACATGAACTGAAATAAAACACTGATGGGTTTAGGAAACAAGGGCGTCCCAACAAAAAATGCAGAAAAGCTCATGTTGTGCCTCTACTTGCACTCCTAGATATTACTGAAACCCCCGCCCCATGTTTTCTATATGGTGATGCATCTGCTGCGATACCTCATATGGCTTAATGGCCGTCTGTATCCGCAGAATGGCTAGACGCTTGCCAAATAGCAGCACAAATAATATTAATTTTTTTTTTTTTAAACTGTGTAATGTCTAAAACCTGGAGCACAACTAAAAGAGAGGAAGCCGTATTATAAATTTTTTAAGAATAGGAGTCTTAACGCCGTTTCTTTAGACCCATCAAAGATGCAAACAGCAGAGAATGGAGAATGAGAAGCAAAATCTGTTTAAATCCCCATGATCACTGGCATCATGATGACAAATAGACTGCTTTAGTTTTGCCAAACGTAGACATAAACAATTAAAGACAAAAGAACAATCAAAACAGAACAGAAATGTCTACGGTAAATGCTAGATGTAACTAAAGGAGACAGGATCAGATGAAATGATATCAGGAAAGAAGCTGGGACGGAACCAGTATTTAACATCATCCAGAGACAACAGATCAAATGGTTAGGACATGTACCAAGACTACCACCAGTCAGTGCACCACAGACAACCCTGTCGCTGAGGCATAACGGAAGCAGTTCCAGAGGTCGACCTCACAAGAGATGGATAGATGGAATATCCGTGGCCGTAAGTACCAGCATCTATGTAGCACATACCAAGTCTAAGTTTTTAAGTCTCCATCTATTCTGTCTGTGTGGCTTTGAGGTAAATAAATATGTTTAACAACTTTATGATTTTTCGAGTACTAAGATTTAATTTCCAAGAAAAATGTTTTTTTTTTTTAAATACTTTGGTAGTTTTTGGACGAGAATTGCACTGTGGAAGAGATTGGGGCCTCACTGTGTAATACTCCCAAAGGCATAAGTGGGTTGTCTGTAGGCAACCTTTACTGTGGAGAGCACATTTTTGTGTTTATTCTATTTACTCAATGCCTCCTCAGTACCTGATGCCAAAAGCAAAACAAAGGACTGCTAGAGAAGAAGAAGAAGGTATTGAAAGAGTGCCAATCATATTCACTGTCGTCATGTTGTGCCACTGTAGGTCACACAGGGTTCACAGTGTATCCTTCCTTTCTCTTGTATCCAACGCCAATCAGTGAAGTGGATTAGTTACTAGACCTAGTGCTGAAGGAAATGTTCACAAACATCATAATGACTATTCTGTATTTTTAATATTTCATACAGGACTGTCCTGTATTTTGAATCTTTTATATAGGACTGTCATGTATTTTTAATATTTCATACAGTACTGTCCTGTATTTTGAATCTTTCATACAGGACTGTCCTGTATTTTTAATATTTCATATAGGACTGTCCTGTATTTTTAATATTTCATATAGGACTGTCCTGTATTTTTAATATTTCAAAAATGACTTTCTGGATCTTAAACCTTTTATAATGAATGTTCTGTATTTCTAATCCTTCAAACAGGACTTCTGTTTAAAAACTTTTTTTTAATACAGGACTGTTCTGTATTTTTAACCTTTCAAACAGAACTGTACTATATTTTTAACCTTTCAAACAAGACTGTACTGTATTTTTAACCTTTAAAACAAGACTGTACTGTATTTTTAACCTTTCATGCATGACTACTTTATTTTTAACCTCTCATACAAGACTACTGTTTTTTAACTTACATGCATGACTGTTCTTTATTTTTAACCTTTCATACAAGACTATACTGTATTTTTAACCTTTCATGCATGACTGTACTTTATCTTTTAACCCTTCATATAGGACTGTTCTGTATTAATAATCCTTCATACAGGACTCTTCTGCATTTTCAATCTTCCAGTCAAAACAGGTGGCCGTGCCACATTTCTAACATTGGTAATGCTGCTGACAATGATGTCCGATGCTGCTTTCCTAGAACTTCTCCTGGTGTGTACTTTCTGCAGCTCAGGCATATGACAGCATGTTTCCGACAAATGACAGCCTGCTTTACTCTTCCTGTTGAGCTGACCACTGATTTCACACTTGTCTTTTCTGTCCTCGGGGGGTGGTTTCTTGCCTTCAGCAGCTTGTTGTGAAGCTTCTAACTGATCTGTCTCAGGTGCCAGCTGGGGAGCATGGTCCTCAGCTTGGAGCGGAGGTTTGGTGGCTTTCAGGAGTCTCTTCCTCAAGGCCTTCTCAGAGATGTGCCAGATGAAGACGCAGCCGTCCATGGATGTGGAGATCACGTGGTCTCCTGGAAATAAATGTTCACAACAAAATGTATATAGAAAGCTCTTGAAGATATGTTCTGTGCTCTTGAAGAAATGTTCTGTGCTCTTGACGATATGTTCTGTGCTCTTGACGATATGGTCTAATTAGTCACTTACTATGGATATTTTCACAGCACAGAGGGTCCAAGTTTATTTGATATATAATTATCATCGGTGAAATATAATTTACACTTTTAAAAATTGTAGTCCCTAAATGACTTCTGCGACTCTATTTTGGTGGGGGCTAGGGAAGGGGGCATCACAGGTTAACAGACTATCAGTATCCGAGCTAGGGCATGCTCTGTTACCCGGTTTGCGATGATGTTGTGGAATCTCAAGGTATCAGCGACTCCTTCAATCCATCTTCTTCTCAGTCGTCCCCTACCTCTTGATGTTTCTACTTTCATTTTGTAGACTCTCGTTTCTGGCATCACTGGATTCATTCTCATTAAACAGTCAAACCATTTCAGTCTGCTTTTCACTGAAGCAATGGCAAACTACTGGTCGTAAATTTGCTTAGAGAAACCACACAACAGCCAGGGGCTGCTGGGGTTGGTTCTGCAACGTCCTGTAAAAGATACGCAACTAACTTAAGTATAGTTGTTCCAACAGTTCTTGTAATGTCTTCATTTCTTACATAATCTCTGCCAGTTTAGTTCACAGCCTTTCTCAAACATTTCTATTCATCTATTATTGTTAAAATGTTAAATCAATATCTATAGCGTCTTTTTCTTTTTCTCTATTCGCCCTTAAAAGTAAGGTTGGCACATTGTGTTACGGTTTACAGCTAGGCTGCGACATCTGTGCCTTTTGGCCCCACACATTAGATTTAAGAAAACCCCTAATTAGTAACTCACTCTTATGACATGCTTGTTGGTGGCAGCGGGTCTATTAATTTTTTCCTCTACCAACAAATGGTCTGGACCTATACGGGACAAATGTCAGCACTGTCTGTCATTTAATGTTAGACACGGCTCAAAATCATTCTATCCTGTGCAGTCGGTCCAATATCGTGGATGGAATTCAGTCCAGTGCTTTTGGCCTCTCTCATCAATGCTCATTTTGGGGTTCTGTTTGGGTGCCCCCTTAATCCCTTTACTTTGCATTTTAGTGCTACTCTGGTGATTTTCTGCTTGTTTCTTTTCAGGATGTGTCCAATAAAGCGCCATCTTCCCTTTCGTATGACTGTTGATACTAGTGGTTGCCAAAAAACATTATTTTCTTCACTCCTGTTGAATTCATCCCATCTTATGTTCATCATTTTCCTCAGGCAATAAGCGGGTAATATATGTGTAATATATATGAAAAGGAAGACAAGCGACAAAAAAAGATTCACTACTCACCTCTTGAAGTAAAGATGAGTCCCGTAATAAATTTTGTGTGACCAGACATAGAAATGAGGATGTCTCCTGTTGCAAAACTGATCACATTAATAGTTTTGTCAGAGGCAGCCGACAACAGCAGGACACCTCTGCTATCCAAACACAGTTTGAGAATTTGCCGCTCTTCTGTGAGACAACCACGGAACATTCGACGTTCCTAATAATAAAATTCAGATATTAAATAAGAATAGACACCTGGAAAATTTCTTGGGAGCTAAAAGCAGCCAGTATGATATTAATCACATTACCTGTTAAACTCTTGACAGTTTGAAAAATATGGAACTAACACCAATCCTGAGTTACACAATATATTAAAAAGCAAGAGATGAGATGGTTTGGCTATCTGAAGAAAGTGCCCTGGTACCAATTGGCACAGAGAACCGTGCTGAAGAAATACAACAGGGCTTTGAATAAAAACCTTAGAAGTGTGATAGAAATTACAGTAACCATGTCACTGTCTTTTTAACTGTCAACATCGTTGCTAAGGATGTCAAGAGTGTTAAGCACTTGGCACCACTGTGCAGATGAACATGGTGATGTCATTATGATATTTTGAAGATGGCTGCCCCACTTCTGATATGTGCCATCAAAGAGGGGTAGTGTTTTGTTATTTTTTTTTAAAAATCAATGAAGGAGTAAAACCTAAATGAACTCATCAGCTCATGAAAGTCCAGTATAGTGATGCATGCCACACAACAGATGGAATAAAAGCATCAATAACAGCCAATGACTGACTGACTGACTGACGTTCAAACCCACTAGGACCACACGGCAAGTGATAAACACCCAGTAACATGAAATGCCACCATTTGAATGAGAATCACCTGGGCTCAAGTGCCAGAAACTCTGTTCAACCTGGAGGTTATAGTTGGGGTCCACAACAACAGCCAGGGTGGGGCTTTACAATAACAAACCCTTGCGCCCCACAATCGGATGAGGATTTAATAAGAACAGCCTTCAGAAACAAAGATTAACTTACACAACACATTAGTAACAGCATATTTAAAATAGCTCCACTGTAACTGCAGGAAGGAGAAGAAGTAGCACTTAACCTGCCATACAGCTTGAAAACAGTCCTTGACTTACTGAAGTGGCAGCTGTGGTTGCCTACTGGCCTAAAGATCTTGGGTTCAAATCTGCACAGGGGGACATTTTTTACTCTATATTTTAAGTAGTGCAGCCTTAAATGGGAAATTACATTTTCAAGGAAAGGTCTTGGGATGCCATGGTTACTGGCATATATTTGTTGACCACACCACCCACTTATTTGGCTCTACAAATATGATCCTAGCATCACCTTCCAACTGCACTATAGCCGTTAAAAAATTCTTCCTTACCCAAGTGACACTATCTGACTTTGGTGCAATTACATGGGAAATTAATCTTGTCACATAAACACTTTCACTTTTCTTTCATTGTTCTGGAATTCCCTGTGTGGGTTCGGGGGCTCCCAACAAGATTAGATCCACTGCCCCCTAACAAGCTTGTCGTAAGAGTCGACTAGGTTAGTGGTGTTTTCTTCGAGTAGCGAGACACACCCACCCCAAAAAATAAGCCAGATCTGTAAAGCACATGTGCATGCAAAAATCAGGTTTTGGAACAAAACCAAAGTCCAGAAGTGGATGAACAGCCAGAAATGTCTGCCAGAGTTTACACTTGTTAATACGAAGAAGATTATTCTAAAAATTAGACATTAGAGCCTATCTGTGTAGCTACCTCTCATAATAAGATAGAATAATGTAATAATCAGTCTTACAGTGCCTTACAGACTGACAAGGGTAATCCTGCTGTCTCCAATAGTATGTATCAATTCTTTGCTGAAACCCTTCTGTCCAATGACAAGTTTTCAACAATCCTCTTTCATTGACTTCCTCTATCTCCTTTTTCATAAATCTTTTCAGCTACCACATGTTTCTGTTTTTATTTTCTAAATTTGCCAAAAGATGTCAAATGTTTCATTCTTGTGTTAATGATAAGTTTCATGTTTTAAATAAACCACAATCACTGTAATGTTTTAAAAAAAAGAATCTTGTTACATGGCGACTGTGTAATGATAAAAAAAAAAAAAAAAAACATGCATGAAATGAGACACGAAAGGATTAAAGAAGTGATGACATCTAAAACAAACCCTACAGCAGGGCTATTCAACAAGGTTTACTTGGGGGCCAAAATTTTGCTTGTGAGGATCACTGCAGGTCAGAAGCCCTAGCATCGAGTTGTGTTGAGTCAAGAATTGATTTCACAGCACTTGGGAAATTCCCATGTGTGCTCCCTCCTCATCTTCACCAGCCAGCGCAGAGTTCCAATACTAATGGTACCGGTCACAATCTGGTTATATGTCCGTCTTGCCTTTCCTCTGAGTGTAGTGAGCCGGCCAAACCCTCTGGTTACACCCAGGTGCCTCATTCTCTCCAGGCCATAATAATCTTGTTTCTCTACTGATTCCATTGCTTGTTCCCAAAGCACATCTGCCTTGTCATGTATCAATTCACCACCCAGTGGTGCAGATCCAGCCAATACAATCTAACTGATCTGCGAGCCAGATCTGGCCCATGGGCTGCCAGCTGAATACTCCTGCTCTACAACAAACAATGAGACGGGCCCAAAGAGCCAGACTGGATGCCACACTCTATATCCAAAAGATCAATGAGGACAGAACTTAAAAATTTTCTCATGTAGGTTCCACACATACTCAAAAAAGACTCAATGCTCTCTGCTAACTAAGGATTTGCCGGAATTGGATTTCTTTGGCTGAAAGGTGGAGATATCACAGCCTGGCTGTAAACCATAATATAACCTTCACAATGCCATTTTAAGGACAAACAGAAGAATAAGAACAATTTACTCAAAGCCTTTTGTGACATATAAACAGCACCATAGGAGAATGAATGAAGGAATATTTTAACAATTTGTCTAATAATAATATTAAACACCAAAATAAAAATTTAATAGTCAGTGTATGTGCTTAGGCATTGCAAATGGGCATCATTAGTCTGAGATACCAAGTTTGATTCTAGCTGCGAGTGATTTGGAATCAGACCATTCTGCATTGATTTTGAAAGTAGCACGGAGAGCTGATTGTTCAGGGCTATGGCAAACTTCTGAATGTAAAAATGCCTAGCTAAACCAAAACAGTCACAAATGGTGGGGCTGCTTCTGGAACTCTCTGTGTGGATTCCACTGCCCCCTAACAAGCATGTCATTAAAGTCTACTAATTAGGAGTGTTTCCAGCGAAGTTGGAGTGCAACTGCCTGACTCGAGGAACCCACAGTCAGCATACAAAGTAAGTCATATGTGTAAAATTAATGTGCATGCAAAACTCAAGTTCCGAAACAAGACTAAAAAGTCTAAAGGTGGACAAATAAGTTTCCACTGGAGTTTACAGCTGGTGAAATAAGTTTCCACTGGAGTTTACAGCTGGGGAAATAAGTTTCCACTGGAGTTTACAGCTGGTGAAATAAGTTTCCACTGGAGTTTACAGCTGGTGAAATAAGATTCCACTGGAGTTTACAGCTGGGGAAATAAGTTTCCACTGGAGTTTACAGCTGGTGAAATAAGTTTCCATGGAGTTTACAGTTGGTGAAATAAGTTTCCACTGGAGTTTACAGCTGGTGAAATAAGTTTCCACTGGAGTTTACAGCTGGTGAAATAAGTTTCCACTGGAGTTTACAGCTGGTGAAATAAGTTTCCACTAGAGTTTACAGTAGGTGAAAGCCTAAGAAGAAGAAGAAGAGGAGGTTCTGCAACTTTCTGTGAAGCAGGGTTATTCAACTGAGGCCTATAGGCCAAATCTGTGCTGCAAAGGCCTAGCATGTGGTCGGCAGATCTTTGTATTGTATAAATGATCCTTCTACGCTGGGGCTTGAACCTCTGGCCCTTGTTCATCTTCATTTTCAAAAGTTTGACCCCTGAGTAAACCTAGTGGAATAGCCTCGCTGTAAAGCAGTGGATCTCAACCTTTCTAATGCTGCGACACTTTACAGTTCCTCAAGTTGTGGTGACCCCCAACAATACAATTATTTTCGTCGCTACTTCATAACTTCAATATGAATATGTTTTCTGCGATGGTCTTTGGCGACCTCTGTGAGAGGGTTGTTCGACACCCCCTCTCTTTTTTTCTAAAAGGGTCGCTACCCATAGGTTGAGAACCGCTGCTGTAAAGGATACCAACCAACTTTATTAAACAGACAATATATGTCAACAATGTGTGCAGACCTGAAGCAAATCCATATCCAGGATTCTGATGTAGCCATCCTGGCAGCCCACTGAGATCTGTTTGGTGAATGAATCCACACAGATGTCCGCCGGTGTGGACATGATGGTGGTACACTTGCTCAGCTGTAAGACTGGTGCACACTTGCTGTCTGTATCACAGCTGACTGGTGAGGTGCAGACGCTGAGCGTTCTGGTTAGGCAAGAAAGTCAACAATGAATGATCAACTGTGTTGAACAATTCGGGAAACAAACCATAACACAATCATGGGTCACAAGTAGGGTGAGAATACGTCCCATTTTCACCAGGACAGTGCTGTTTTATTTTTTTAATTTTTAGCTGTGCCCTGGCCCTTTTGTTGGCTCTCCCCCTCCCCCCAAAAGAGCCAAATGTCTTATTTCATAAAGATCTAAAAAAAAAAAACAGTTTAAAGAATAGAACATAAACTTGTACTTAGATCTATAAACCTTATTAGAGGTCATAGTTTGAAAACTTTAATGACTGAAAAGTGGACACTTTAATGCCTGAAAAGTACTGATGAGAATTTTCATTGTAGCCCGTTTTTCAGTACTGTTAAAGAGCTTATAGTTTCGTTTCTTTCTTGACGTTAATTGCTCTGGTTCTGGTTTTAATACCAATCTTGAGCAAGTAATTACCTTATTCACCCCGCTGACCTAAGGAAAACAAAACACACAAAAAAAAGGGGAGCAGGGGTGGTGGGGGAGGGGGGGAGGGGGGAGGGTTGGTTAACCTGCTTCAGATGTCACGTTTCACCTCAAAATATTAGTGGAACGTCACGTTTTCAACTAAAAATATTAGTGAGAAATCCCATTTTCAGCTCAAAATATTAGTGAGATGTTCTATTTTCAGCTCAAAATATTAGTGAGAAATCCCATTTTCAGCTCAAAATATTAATAAGAAATCCTATTTTCAGATTAAAATAGTGAGAAATCCCATTTTCAGATTAAAATATTAGTGAGAAATCCCATTTTCAGCTAAAAATATTAGTGAGATCTTCTATTTTCAGCTCAAAATATTAGTGAGAAATCCCATTTTCAGCTCAAAATATTAATAAGAAATCCTATTTTCAGATCAAAATAGTGAGAAATCCCATTTTCAGATTAAAATATTAGTGAGAAATCCCATTTTCAGATTAAAATATTAGTGAGAAATCCCATTTTCAGCCTAAAATATTATGGCCAACCTTGTCTTAAGGATAGGACAGTGAAAATAAAGAACCTTATTCCTGCCACTTGCCTATTGCGCAGATGTGATATGATGGTATAATGATACTGCTATAGACTGATAGCTACTTGATGGGACGATGTGGCTGACATCTCGCTGACCACCTTTACTTCCCAGGGTAATGACAGGCTGAAGACAAGACCTTCTTTCTTCTTTTGCCCTTTTGAGTTGCGTAGCTTGCGTCAATGTCATATCATGTTTCTGAAGTATCTCCTTTAGTCCCTCCACCCACCTCTTTCTTGGCTGGCCCCTTGCCTTGTAGCCTGCTGTTCTCATGTAGTCTGCTGATTTTGTTCCATTTTGACCAGATGACCACACCCTTTGTGTCTCTGGTGTTCTATGAAATTACTGTTCTTAATTCTTCATTGGTGACTGTCTCTTCAGGCCACATTTCCTACACATCTCATCTCACATGTTGTAATTTTGCATTTTATTTTTCTATGACTGTCCATAGACTGATAGCCCAAAGTTGGTACGAACAGCACATCTGTCAGCATCTTCTCTGTGTGCATATTGCTATTGTTATGCCTCAAAAGTGGTGCTATTTGATGATTTATGTGGAAAAGTGTATATAAGGCTGGACTTGAATTTATTACCTTCTTGCACGTTGTATGAGGCAAAAATGAAGGATTAGCATGAAACCGACTAAAGTAAAGTACCCTTTTCACGCCAATGGCGCATCAGGCACATGAGGCTAGACTCGTAATATTATTGACCAATTATTGACCTGGTTGTGTGATGTGTCAACTCCAAACCAGCTGCCTTTACTTCCCAGCACCTGGTACTCATTTAAGACTGGGTCAATCTGAGGACACTGTTGCATTTGAGAGAAAAAAAATACACCTTCATATTGATTTAATTTAAACGCATGACCTTTGGATCCACCGCCAAGAGTCTAGTCGCCACGCGACTCCCTTGAAACTAAAAAGCCATCAGGCGTACAGGGCACATAGGGCTAGACCTATATTTTAATGACCAATAGGCACTTGGTGGATGATGTGGTCAGCATCATGCTGGCCGCTTTACTTTCCAGGAAAGCACCCATTTAAGGCTGGGTTGACCTGGGAGCCAAGGTCAATTCTAAAAAAAAATCCAGCTCTGTCAGCATCCGTACCCACGACCTTCCGATCTGCAGGCGAGTATCTAGCCAGGGGCTCCCATGAAAATATCTGATCCCACATACAGTCAGCTGCAAAATCCAATCAGGCATATGCTTTAATAGTATTTCACAGCATATGTTATTAACATTTAGCTTGGGGAATTTTTAGACCCATCAAAGATGCAAACAGCGAAGATTAGAGAGTGAGAAGCAGCAACAAAATTCCTAATCTGTGGAAATTATGACTAATTTCTGGCATCATGAGGACTAACCCACTGCAATGGCTGGAGCATATAGAGAGAGAATGGCAGACAACAAAGAGACTAAAACTGTGTACACAAGGGAGTTGAAACGGCAGTAGACCATGATGCCGCCAGTGTGTCACCAGGGCCCTCACAGGAAGCAAAGAATAGTGACACTGCACCCTACCAGGCATGTCGTAAGAGGCGACTAAGAAAGGCTTGAGGTTGGCTACCTCCTCCTATAAAAACAATTGCCACAAAAACCAACAATGAAAAAGTTTTTTTTTTAAACCTAAGAAACTAGACGTTGAGAAAACCTGAGAACAATGTATCTAGAATGTCACTGAACTGGAATCCACCTAGGCACAGGTATAAAGGAAGACCAAAAAACACAGAGAGAAGGGAGCTAGAAAGTGAAGTTAAAAAGATGGGGATGACATAGGCAGAGCTGAATGTGAAAGCAAAGGATAGAATGACGTTGCATGAGCTGGTCGAGGGCCTATGCTCCATTGGAGGTTAGAAAGACAGAAGAAGAAAAGGAAGACCATGAAGCAGACGAAGAAGACAGTGGAGAAGCAAGGTGGCTGCGTGGTCTCGAGGCATGGTGTCAGACTTGAGTGCTAGAGGTCCCGGGTGCAAGTCTCAGTGAGGACTGGGACTTCTAGTCATTTCCCCTGGTCTGTAGGCAGTAAGACCAGACGCCCGTGTGTACTGATGTACATATAAAATCCCTTGGCAGTTGGAAATTGAAAAAAGTAGCCTAACGGTGCTGCCCAGGCAAAATTCGGAATTTAAAATCTACCTAAAGTATTTTAGGACACTCGCCAGTGCAACAGAGTTCGTGCACTGCGCTGAGATTCTTTAGACTCAGGCTTGAGTTAGAAGTAGAAGAGAGCACTTATGGGTGACACCCGTGTGTGATGATGTTGATTCGTTGAAAAAACATAAAAATAAACAAGCAGAACTATAAACACTTGGAGTCACTAACTGGGAAGAGAAGGCCAATCAAAGAGATAAACAGACGTGGCAATATCTGCAGCAATGAGCCTCAAGGGCTCTGAATGTCGAAGAAGAAAAGGAAGCAAAATATTTTAACTGTAACTTTGGGTTACCCTCACAAACAAATATATGTTGAATTTTGGATTAAGAATCGACATCACAGCACTCAGGACACTACCATAAGTGCTCAGTCCTCATCTTCAGCAGCAAGCGAAAGAGTTCCTATTCCGATGGTACCAGTAATCATCTGATTGTATATCCGTCTCATCCTTCCCCTGAGTGTTGGCCAGATCCCCTGGTAACTCCTTGCAGCGCTATTCTCGTCAGACCGTAATGATCTATCTGCCCGCACTGTTTACTTGCTCCCAAGAGGCACTCACAAACAGACAGAAGGAAAAGATTCAAACCTGTCTGCAGCACAGGAGATCATGTTCAGTTGGCCAGACATCTCGCAGATGGCCACAACTGTGATGGAAGACGAGTGGATGCTTAAAGTGGAAATCAAGCGGAAATCATTGTTGACATCCATGATATGGATCAGTCTGTCCCTACTTCCACTGGCCAAAATGGTTCGACCTGCGCTAGAACATAAAAACACAGGGTACAACTGTGCCTGACCAAATGCTGCTAACCACATATTTGTTTTAAAGTCAGTAGTCAGGGTTGTAGTCAAGAACAAGATGGAAGGATAACATCAGAGAAACTCTACAATAGCACGATGTGCCTATGGTCGAGGCGGCCAGAAGAGCTAGAAACAGAACCTTATATCTCCCTTAACACCCACAGCGGTAAAAAAGGAAGTGAAGAAGAAGAAGAAGTCAGGGTTGTAACCTCATTACAAATGGGTTGGCCCATTATTGCCCAGTTCCTATGCCAGTAAAAATAAATACATGGATTTATCTGGGTTCCAGAGCCCTTCTTCTCCTACCTTTCTAACCCCCAATGGAGCATAGACCCTCAACCAACTCATACCAAGTCATTCTATCCTTCGCTATCGCATGCAGCTCGCCCCATCTTTTTAACTTCTCTCTCTAGTTCCGTTCTCCATATGTTTTTTTTTATGGTCTTTCTTTATTTCCTATACCCCTGTGGGTTCCAGTGCAAAGATATTCTAGTTATACTGCTCTCAGGTTTTCTCGGCATGTGTTCTATCCACAACCAGCGTCTTTTCCTCACCTCTTGGTCTACTGGAACTTGTTTAGTTCTCTCCCAAAGAACTACATTAGTGATTCTATCATACTATTTAATTCCCTATATTCTGTATAGGCACCAGTTAATAAATGTTTGTAGTTTATTAGCAATTGCATTAGCTGTTCACCATGTTTCCGCTCCCTACAATAGTACGGATTTGACATAAGAATAAAAAAATGATAAGTTTAGCATTAGTTTTAATTTCTTTTGACCTCCACAAATTCCCTAGTGCTATGAAAGCTCCTCTTACCTTTTGTATTCCTATTTCAATATCTCTATCAGTCCCTCCTTCTTTATCTATGCTGCTCTCTTCTGAGAGTGAAAGCAGAAGAAGATGTTTTCCTTGATTTTTCTGATGCTATTTCATGATTCCTTATCCATTCCACCTCAGACAGTACACACCATGTCAAGTTTTCTGTCATACCGCCTTTCCTTCCCCGAGGTGCCCATTTTATGAGACTGCATTGAACTCAACAGATTAGGAAATACGCATCATGCCACTGTTCAGGACTGAACCCAGACACCCATCTAATCATGCAAGTGTACTAACTACTATACCTCCATGGCTCATATACTGACATGTGAGCGCAACACACGTTGTAAGCAGAGGTACTGTTGAGTGCTGAGCTCAGAATTGTCACCATAGCACTCAAGACACTCCCATAAGTGCCCCATCCTCTTCTTCAGCAGCCAGCAAAGTGTTCCAGTTGTAATCATGCTAGGGTAGGTTTCATTAAATGTCCATCTTGCCTTTCAACTGAGTGTAGAGTCTCAATCAGATCCCCTGCTCACTCCTAGCTGTACCATTCTTTCTAGGACCATAATGTTCTATTCGTGCCTCCTGCTCACTCCTAGCTGTACCATTCTCTCCAGGACCATAATGTTCTATTCGTGCCTCCTGCTCACTCCTAGCTGTACCATTCTTTCCTGGACCATAATGTTCTATTCAAGCCTCCTGCTCACTCCTAGCTGTACCATTCTTTCCTGGACCATAATGTTCTATTCGTGCCTCCTGGTGACTCCTAGCTGTACCATTCTTTCCTGGACCATAATGTTCTATTCAAGTCTCCTGTTCACTCCTAGCTGTACCATTCTTTCTAGGACCATAATGTTCTAATCGTGCCTCCTGTTCACTCCTAGCTGTACCATTCTTTCCTGGACCTTAATGTTCTATTCAAGCCTCCTGTTCACTCCTAGCTGTACCATTCTTTCTAGGACCATAATGTTCTATTCAAGCCTCCTGGTTACTCCTAGCTGTACCAATCTCTCCAGGACCATAATGTTCTATTCAAGCCTCCTGTTCACTCCTAGCTGTACCATTCTCTCCTGGACCAAATGTTCTATTCGTGCCTCCTGGTGACTCCTAGCTGTAACCATTCTTTCCTGGACCAAATGTTCTATTTGTGCCTCCTGGTGACTCCTAGCTGTATCATTCTTTCCTGGACCAAATGTTCTATTTGTGCCTCCTGGTGACTCCTAGCTGTACCATTCTTTCCTGGACCAAATGTTCTATTTGTGCCTCCTGGTGACTCCTAGCTGTACCATTCTTTCCTGGACCAAATGTTCTATTCGTGCCTCCTGCTCACTCCTAGCTGTACCATTCTTTCCTGGACCAAATGTTCTATTTGTGCCTCCTGCTCACTCCTAGCTGTACCATTCTCTCTAGGACAATAATGTTCTATTCAAGCCTCCTGGTGACTCCTAGCTGTACCATTCTCTCTAGGACAATAATGTTTTATTCGTGCCTCCTGCTCACTCCTAGCTGTACCATTTTTTCCTGGACCAAATGTTCTATTCATGCCTCCTGGTTACTCCTAGCTGTACCAATCTCTCTAGGACAATAATGTTCTATTCGTGCCTCCTGGTGACTCCCAGCTGTACTATTCTCTCTAGTACAATAATGTTCTATTCGTGCCTCCTGCTCACTCCTAGCTGTACTATTCTTACCTGGACCAAATGTTCTATTCGTGCCTCCTGGTTACTCCTAGCTGTACCATTCTCTCCAGGACCAAAATGTTCTATTCCTGCCTCTGCATGGTTTACTTGCTGCCAAAGGGCCTTTACCAAATCTAGCTTCTTCTTCTTCAGCATACCGAGCCCTTGAGGTTCACTGCTGCAGATATCACCCACCTTCATTCATCTTTCCGGTTGGTCTTCTCTTTCCAGTTGGTGACATCAAGTGTTTGCCGGTCTCTCTGGCTATTATCTCTCTATCATCTTCTTGGTCTGCCTCCTGGTCTACAACCAATCAGCTCCCTTGAGTATACAGTTTTTACCTCTCTGTCATCTGACATTCTCTCAAGTTGCCGCAGCCAAATTTCAGTCTTTTCACTCTGATGATACCAGTGATCAATTGTGATTTAAAAAGGTTACGAATTTTGTTTTCGCTTTTCACTCTCCATTCCCCTCTGTTGGCATCTTTGATAAATTCAGAGATTCATCGTAACACTCTGTTTTCAAAAATTTGTTTAAAAAAAAAAATCTTTGTCCCTTTTAGTTGTGCTCCAAGTTTTAGTGCCATATAAAACAAATGGTCTTATCAGTGTTTGATCTATTTTGTTCTTTGTGTTGCAAGTTAGAGATTTTGATTTTAGCAGATGTTGAAGACCATAGTATAATTTATTTCCAGATTGTATTTCTTTCCTCAGCATGTCATGCATATACTCACCATTAAATTGTGCAAAATCTGTCTGCCTGTACATTTTCTAACACTCCTGCATGCCAGGGAGAAAACATCCTCAGAACGCTAACTAACCGGGACCTCTGAAGCAATGTCTGCTACTCTGTAAGGAGCCTACCTGTCTCCACCATTCTTAACACACTTTGTGAGTTGATTACAAAAATAACTGTGTGAGCAGCCAGCTCTCAAACCAGCAGGCAGCTGCCGTGACTGCCTCCACCTCCATGCAGAGGTGCTGATGTGACTATGTTTGGATACATGTTGAACAGGACCTTTCTTCACTTGTATTGATGACACTGTGGAGTCACTAGACTGAAAACAGATGATGAAGCTAGACCTGCAATGATGAAGCTGGATGAGGACCACAAACTCTGCAGTGTTATCAGACTTGCAAGAAAGCTACAGTAATCTATATCCTTAACCACCCAGGACTGCAGGTGACACCTGGCCCTAAATATTTCTTCTCACGTGGCTGAATGGAAAGGCGGGGAATGTCTCAGGATGGAATAATGAACCTTTAGGTAGCAGCCGGAAGAAGACAAACTCGCTGACTGATCCACATCATAGTAATTCACATCACATCATCATCAATTTGAAACCGCTATGTTGCCTCTCCTAGATAGCATTAGTTATAATTTTGGCTTTTCTTCATGCATCCATCCGTCCATTTGTGGAAGGAAAAAAATCAACCATGTTTAATCTACTGCGAGCAGTATCGGTTATAATTGTGGTCTGGTTTCTTTGTGCCAATTATGTTGGCTAAGAAATGCTAACTGCACCAAAACTAGTGGCTTGGTCCCGTAGCCTAATACCTATTGATAAAGAATCCAAACCCATATTTTGCACTGACCATTTAGAAACCTGTAAATCATGGACACTGAGCCGAACCACTTGAAAATAAAATGAGAGTTATCTGATGGAAATGATTCGTGCATGGGTACTGCATCCCTATATGAGGGAGGGTGGGAAAAATAGTTTCACTCTCTGACCAATTAAAGGTTCGCTGAAATCAGATGCTTTGGGTCAAAAGGGGCAGACTGACAGCCTAGCTGTAAACTCTAACACACCATGCCAACTAACCTTTTAAGAAGAAGAAGAAGTGTAATGCAAAAGTTACCATGGACAACAACAACAACCAAAAAAAAAAAAAAACAAGAGGAAAAAGATAGTCAAGAAAAAAAAACACCTACCTATCTGAGAAATTAGAAGCAGGTAGTCAAGATACATGAGCATATTATTAAAAGAAACTGCCTTAAAAACTGTGTGACAGCTGACAAACTTGATAGGAAAAGAGCAAAAGAAAAGCAAGAGATAAATCTCTAGAGAGTTTGCTTACAAAGTATAACTGGCACAAGAACAGTGACTTATCCAAAATTATGGTGATCATATGAGATGATGAGTCCTGATCGTTCATGCTTGTTAAAATGCCTCTTGATGACCACAATAATCTTCATAAACTACGACACACACAGGACTGTCTCAGTTTATTGTAACTGGTATTATACGTACTGATGCCAATTACTTGTTACTTGTCTGTATCGACATCCCAGCACATCAGTTCCACCCATTCATGCTCTGTCTTTCGCTGCAGCAGTAGTTCATCGTCTCTGACTCCTCTGTCTCAATGTCTCTGAAACGCTGTGCATTCTATATGCCCCTGTCCATACTTCTTTCCTCAAACACTGCAAATACGGCCAGTCAATCAGCTCTTCCCTTTCCTTTCACTCCAGCGTCTCTTGGTGTGTACAGCCAAGACATTTTCTTGAGGCTGACTTCTGGATACTGTCAACCCCTTCTATTCCATACTGATGTCCGTATTACTGGGTACAACAAGTGATCGACATAATCACTCAGTAATCTGTCATGCATATCATAAGAGGCAATTGAGGAGGGTTGGTGTGAGGCTGACTATATCCTTTAGAAAGCTAACTGCAAAATCCAACAAATGATGAACTTAAAAGAAAATAGCATCAAGGGGTTAAGAACCTATGGCCACACTGCCATGAGTGGGTTTACGACCTATGGCCAACTGCCATGAGTAGGTTTAGGACCTATGGCCCACTGTCATGAGTGCGTTTGGGACCCATGGCCAACTGCCATGAGTGGGTTTAGGACCTATGGCCCACTGTCATGAGTAGGTTTAGGACCTATGGCCCACTGTCATGAGTGTTTTTAGGATGTATGGCCCACTGTCATGAGTAGGTTTGGGACCTATGGCCCACTGTCATGAGTGGGTTTAGAACCTATGGCCCACTGTCATGAGTAGGTTTGGACCTATGGCCCACTGTTATGAGTGGGTTTAGGACCTATGGACAACTGCCATGAGTGGGTTTAGGACCTATGGCCCACTGTCATTAGTGGGTTTAGGACCTATGGCCCACTGTCATGAGTGGGTTTAGGACGTATGGCCCACAGTCATGAGGGGTTTGGGACCTATAGCCAACTGCCATGAGTGGGTTTAGGACCTATGGCCAAATGTCATGAGTAGGTTTAGGACCTATGGCCAGCTGCCATGAGTGAGTTTAGGACCTATGGCTCACTGTCATGAGTGGGTTTGGGAATTATGGCCAACTGCCATGAGTGGGTTTAGGACCTATGGCCAACTGCCATGAGTTGGTTTAGGACCTATGGCCAACTGTCATTAGTAGGTTTAGGATCTATGGCCAGCTGCCATGAGTGAGTTTAGGACCTATGGTTCACTGTCATGAGTGGGTTTGGGAATTATGGCCAACTGCCATGAGTACGTTTAGGACCTATGGCCAGCTGCCATGAGTGGGTTTAGGACCTATTACCATTGCCATGAGTGGGTTTAGGATGTAAGGCCCATTGCCATGAGTGTGTTTAGGACATATCCCCCATTGCCAGGAGTGGGTTTAGGACCTATGACCTATTGCTATTTAAGAGTGGGTTTAGGACCTATGGCAAACTGTCATGAGTGGGTTTAGGACATATCGCCCATTGCCAGGATTGGGTTTAGTACCTATGACCCACTGTTATTCATGAGTGGGTGTAGGACCTATGATCCAATGACATGAGTGGGTTTAGGACCTACGGCCCATCGCCGTGAGTGGGTTTAGGATGTATCGCCCATTGCCAGGAGTGGGTTAGGATATACCGCCCATTGCCAGGAGTGTGTTTATGACGTATCACCTATTGCCATGAGTGGGTTTAGGACGTATGACCCATTGTTTTCATGAGTGGGTTTAAGACCTATTGTCCACTATCATGAGTGGGTTTAGGACTATGGCCCATTGTCATGAGTGGGTTTAAGACTATGGCCCACTGCCATGAGTGGGTTTAGGACTATGGTCCACTGCCATAAGTGGGTTTAGGACTATGGCTCATTGTCATGAGTGGGTTAAGGGCCTATGGCACATTGTCATGAGTGGGTTTAGGACTATGGCCCACTGCCATGAGTGGGTTTAGGACCTATGGCCCATTGCCATGAGTGGGTTTAGGACTATGGCCAACTGCCATGAGTGGGTTTAGGACCTATGCTTCACAACATGAGGTGGTTGAGGGCTTGTGGGACATCAGAGAGAAAAAATTAACTTAATTAAGTCTAGGACTAACTTACCTATCAGAGTAGATTGCCAAACATGTGACTTCCCTGTTGTGAGCCAGCACCGTCAACGAGTGCTCAAAGGTTATCCGATCATACACACAAATGTTGCCAGCTTGGTTGCCTGTCACAATGAACTTTCTATCTGGGCTGACCTATGTGTGTGTGTATAATATATTTATGAAATGTCAACTTTATGAATATCTATCACATCTTTGTAACTACCTTGGGGTCTCCATGATGAAGTCATCAAGCTATCTGCCTCACAGGTCACACATTTTACTGACACGTTGGCCAGTTCACGAGTGCAGTTTTTTATGGAGATTCTTGAGAATAGCCCTGGACCAAGTAAGGTGAGTCAAAACCCTGTGCAATGAAGTCGATCCTCTGGACCTTACTTTCTTAACAAAACGAAAAACGGTTTAAAGATTTCTCACAGAAAAAAAACAAAGACAGTCAGGAAGGAAACTGTTTATCTTATCTGCAATCACTCTGATCTGATAGATGTGGTGGATTCATATCACTGAATTTCTGTATGAGTGATCAAAGTGCAATCACTCTGATCTGATAGATGTGGTGGATTCATATCACTGAATTTCTGTATGAGTGATCAAAGTGCAATCACTCTGATCTGATAGATGTGGTGGATTCATATCACTTAATTTCTGTATGAGTGATCAAAGTGCAATCACTCTGATCTGATAGATGTGGTGGATTTATATCACTTAATTTCTGTATGAGTAATCAAAGTGCAATCACTCTGATCTGATAGATGTGGTGGATTCATGTCACTTAATTTCTGTATGAGTGATCAAAGTGCAATCACTCTGATCTGATAGATGTGGTAGATTCGTATCACTCAATTTCTGTATGAGTGATCAAAGTGCAATCACTCTGATCTGATAGATGTGGTGGATTCGTATCACTCAATTTCTGTATGAGTGTTCAAAGTCCCTACATAATACATACATAATTTTAAATGCAGACACCAGCACTGCACAATATATCACCTGACATATTTATTCTGTATCTCGTCAAGGGATTTTCTGTGTGTGATACATCTGATCTGTATGTTCTGTCTCGTAACACTTAGATAATACATAAAACACTGATAAGCCCAACTGTCCTATATAGCTTTGAAAGCTGAAGTACAACAAAAAAAAAAAAGGGACAAAGTCTTATCCAAAGCAATAATCACAAGATATTTAAATGACCACTAATTACTGGCATCTTACTTACTTTACTAAGCTGCTCCTCTTCTACCTTGGGGTGTAGAATTTGGCCAAAGAGATCAACAGACTTATCTATCAACAATTTTCTTATTGGCTTTATATTCCATTCGAGTCCTCTGTAATCAGGGACTGTCAGATGCTGTCTTTCCAGTGAACCCATGGTTGTCCTGGTGGTCCAGTTCCCTGGTTCTTAGCCTTCCATGCCTGTCATGGTAGCAGATTCTCTACCATTCTGCATACATGTCCAAACCATCATAACTGTGTTTGACCCATTAGAGTGTGTAAGGCCTGGATTTCAAGGTCTGATTGTGAAATTTGTCCCTTCTTGTCAGTTGAACCACCTTTCTCAGATACCTCATTACTTCTGTCAGCCGATGACTCACACCAATATGTCAGGACTGACATATAGCTAGAGCGGTATACGGCCATTTTTGTCCCCTTGCTAATTTCTCTTGTGCTGAGAAACCGCTTGGAAGTCTCCCAGCAGCTGCTTTTCAAGCAGCCAACTCTGAATTCTGGTCTATTACGACTCCAAGGTATTTGAACTAGTTGACCTGCTCCAGTGCATCTTATTCCATCATGATCTTATGTTTCTTCTCCTCTCTTAAGATTCCCATGGTTTCAGCTTTGGAAACGTTGAATTACTGGCATCAAGAGGGCTAACAGACTGCAATGTTTGAGGTATACAGAGAGACTGGCACAGAGACAACAAAGGCATACACAAAAGAGTTAAATGGGAGTAGACCATAAGGCAGACCAAGAAGATGGTGGAGAGATAATATACAGGCAGACCTGAAAACAGTTGGAGTCACCAACTGGACAGAGAAGCCTAGTCACAAACATTATTGGACAGAGATAATATCTGCAGCAATGAAGCTCAAGAGCTGAGAATGTAAGAAGATACATAGGAAACCGGAGTACTTATGTAGATGACCACATACAATAAACGAGATCCTTCACCAAACCAATACATTCTACTTTACCATGTGCAATGAATGTGATCCTTCAACAAACCAATACATTCTACTTTACCATGACCGCCATGATTATGCCAGCACTGCTCATAGTTTTGTTCTGAGCCTCCAGTATTGGTGGCAGGCAGGAGCAGGATCAGTGCACATTAGAACTGATTCTTCAGAAAGTCAAACGTATCATTCTTTTTTACTCTGACTGCCGTTATGGTATCTGAGCATTCATTTCTGGTAGCAAAATTTAAAGACAAAGAAGAAGTCGACACACTAGACACATCTGGATAAGAAACAAGCAGAGAATCACTAAGCAGGCACTAAAATGGGAAATAAATGTTAAATGTTGAATTAAGAATCGGCATCACAGCACTCGGGACACTCCCATAAGTGCACAGTCCCCCATCTTCAGCAGCAAGCAAAGAGTTCCAATTCTAATGGCACCAGCAACCAACTGATTGTATATCCGATCATCCTTCCCCTGAGTGTTTAGAGCGTCGACCAGATCCCCTGGTAACTCCTTGCAGTGCCATTCTCCTTAGACTGTTATGATGGTCTAAATGGGAAATAAAAGGGCTAAAGAAGCAAGGACGTCCAAAAGAAACCATTGCTCATGGATGAGATCAACTGTTATGGACTGAATTCCATCCATGATGTCGAAAGGACGGCGCAGGATAGAATGACATGTAGGTAGAGACTGTGAGCCCTATGTGACATATAATGGCACAACAGGACAAATGATGATGATGAATAATGCAGTGATGATGTCTGTGTTATTTAAGGTTTGGTTCCGGGCTTCCAGTACTGATTGCAACAACAAACAAACAAAAGTAGGATCAAGTGTACAATTGTTTCTCTGTGTTTAGACTTCAAAGAGTGGCATGTTGTGGTTTACAGCTAGGCTGCAATATGTGCACCTTTCAGGCCAACACATCCGATTTCAGAAAACCCCTAATTAGTCATCTTTTGCAACATGCTTGTTAGAGAGGCAGTGGGTCTAAACCCCCCCCCCCCCCAACAATGGGACACCTGAACACAAACAGGAAGCGTACAATAAAAGTGAGACTTTACAAAGCCATAAAATTACAGGCTATACTTTAAAAAAATCAACCCCCTTCTTTCAGACACACACAACATGCACACACATACGCACACACACAGACATACAAGTAAAATGCACAGCTACCCAGAGGGACATACTTTTGTGAAAATTCTGACATTCACATTCTTTGTAATTAGTGAAATTTGTCAAACTGCGCACGAGAATACCTTAGGGTTCACCCAATAAATTGATATTTTTTCTGCATCTGGGTCATTGACAGTCTTTAGGCACATGGGCTGTACTCTCAACTAATTAAAAAGGCTCCACCGGATAACCATGCATGTCTGTATGTGAACATTCTATTTTACCTTGACTGCCGTGATGATGCCTGTATGTGAACATTCTACTTTACCTTGACTGCCGTGATGATGCCTGTATGTGAACATTCTATTTTACCTTGACTGCCGTGATGATGCCTGTATGTGAACATTCTATTTTACCTTGACTGCCGTGATGATGCCTGTATGTGAACATTCTATTTTACCTTGACTGCCCTGATGATGCCTGTATGTGAACATTCTATTTTACCTTGACTGCCGTGATGATGCCTGTATGTGAACATTCTATTTTACCTTGACTGCCGTGATGATGCCTGTATGTGAACATTCTATTTTACCTTGACTGCCGTGATGATGCCTGTATGTGAACATTCTATTTTACCTTGACTGCCGTGATGATGCCTGTATGTGAACATTCTATTTTACCTTGACTGCCGTGATGATGCCTGTATGTGAACATTCTATTTTACCTTGACTGCCGTGATGATGCCTGTATGTGAACATTCTATTTTACCTTGACTGCCGTGATGATGCCTGTATGTGAACATTCTATTTTACCTTGACTGCCGTGATGATGCCTGCATGTGAACATTCTATTTTACCTTGACTGCCGTGATGATGCCTGTATGTGAACATTCTATTTTACCTTGACTGCTGTGATGATGCCTGTATGTGAACATTCTATTTTACCTTGGCTGCCGTGATGATGCCTGTATGTGAACATTCTATTTTACCTTGACTGCCGTGATGATGCCTGTATGTGAACATTCTATTTTACCTTGACTGCTGTGATGATGCCTGCATTATCCAAGGTCTGGTTCTGGGCCTCCAGGACTGGCTGCAATGGAGCAGGATCAGTGTAGAGGATACTCAGGCGATCGTAGCAGATGGACTCTCCGATGACGATTCCCCACAGCCGAACCGTAGAATCGTGGGACACCGTGACCAGGGTCTCTCTGACTTGCCCTTTGGAGTCCTTGGTGGTGAAGATGTCGGTGTTGGTGATAGCCTTGCTGTGGTAGACAGCTACATACCTGGAAGTAGCCAGATGTTGTCACTGATGATTCACTTCATTCAAACCGATTCAGATAATTCCATTTTATTCCCCATGTGGGTTCCAGGACTCCACTGTAGGGAATACAAGAAGAGACCCACTGCCTCCCCGCAAGCATGTCGTAAGAGTCCTTCGAAATTGGAGTGCATCTGCCAGAGAGACAAGGACCCAACAGTCTGCATGCAAATAAGCAAGATCTGTAAAACGGATGCAAATGCAAAACTCAGGTCCTGGAACAAAGCAAAGTCCAGAAATGGAAGAACAACCAGACAATTCCATTTTATGCTTTGAGCATAAGCTTAAAAAAGCTGTGTATCCTTTATAGGATGTTGCAGAACCTGACCACAGTGTGTGTGTGTGTGTGTGTGTGTGTTTGTGTGTGCGTGCATGTGTGTGCATGCACGCCATTTTCTAAATTTTGAGAAGTAGTGACCAAGGATGAAGCATTATGAATTATTTACACTTCAGGCAAACCGTAGATTAATGAAGTTTGCAGAAGCGTCCGCTATCAACCGGATTAGTCCAGAATTATGCAGACAAAAGGACATGCTTTTCACCTTGTGTTTACTCTGATGAAACAGACAATTTGTGAATGTAGCTTTTGTGAATTTAGTCGATTTTGTGTTTCAGTTTGAAGGATTTATTTATTCGCTTCATGTTAATCAATTATTACTGTAGGATGCACCTGACGAGATACAGTGAAATATGCCAGGCAATAAACTGTACAATCTATTGTTTGTGTCTTCTTTTTTCTAACTGGAGTCATTTAATAAAAATTATTGCCCATTATTTTTTGTGTGCAGGCGTGCCAGCATAGGGCTGCAAACGGCCCGGGCCGCCAGTCTGATGTGCCGGCTTTACAGAATGTTTCCTTTGTTATGGCACGCCTAAAAGTCTCTCTGTCTCTAGCCAATTCTTCAGCCTCATGTGCTCATACCCAATACATCTTCAATGTCTTGTAACCAACCCGCTTTGAGGAGCTCTGCCTCTGCCTCTCAATAAGACTACCAATACTCTCAATAAGATAGCCAATCTCATGAAAACACTTTATAGCCATCTCTTATGACATGCATGGTAGTTTAGACCAAGATAAAATTAGTCCCACAGTTGATGCCTATTAAAGGTGAGAAGGTGTTAGGTCAACGAGTATGCTTAAGAAAACCTAAACTGGTAAACTCCGACTAATATGGTTTGATAGCATCCAGAAGTCCAGCATTGAGAAAATATCTTGGCTGTACACAGCGGGATATGCTGGGGTGAAAGGAAATAAAACTGCTGACAGACTGGCTGTGTCTGTGGTCGGTGAAGGAGAAGTCTGGACAGGGCAGACATAATGAATGCAGTGTTTTCTGGAGATGTTGAGAAAAAGGAATCAGCAATGCAGAACTTCTGATCCAGTAGACTTTACCGCATGTACTTTGTTTCCAAATGTGTTGATTTTATTTTTCCTTTGGAGTAATAAAAGACGGCCCAAGTGAGGAATCACACTGTTTGGCAACACATATGCTCTACAGTACTTCTTAGGCTCTGTGCTATGAAGGAGGAACATCATGGGGCTGTGACTCCCATACCTTCCTTTAGCACAATATATAGCTCTCTGAGATGTTTTTCATGTGGAATGCCCTTTAATTGTGAGCTGGTGAAATATCTTATGTAATAATTCTACGTGTGTATAGCTAACTTACCGTGCCTGACTATTTCCATCAACGACAAACTGCATTTCTGAAGGTGACTGTTGGCGTTGGCGCCTTTAGCAACTGCCATATGCATTTACTGCATGCGCACATTAGTGGATTGTTTGTTCACCAATTTATCAAATGGGATAGTGAAGGCCATTTTAACTGATTTGCACTGGCACAGGAATGGAGCAAGTATTGGGAAACTTGATTGCAGTGAAGTTGAAACATTCGACTAAGACAAAGAACAATGTAACACTATGTCCTATAATCACTATTATCTTCTATGGTGAATTAAACATGGGCAGTAAATGTCGAGGCCGACCTCTACTACGACACAAAGATGTGTGCAAGCGGGGCATAAATGATACAGGTATTGAGGTGGACTCATAGAAAGAAAATGTCATGGACCATGTTGTGTAGAGGGGGCACATTAGGAAGGGAATAAGAATAAAGGAAAAAATTATTGTAGAAAAGATGAGAGCTGAGCGTCTGAGAAGAAACCGACTTAACCAAAATTTTGACAACAATGGTCCTAAAATCCCACGCTATAATTGTGGAAGACTTTTCACAGCCATAACGCGGCACATCTTGTTAGTCACACCCGCCATCGCCATGGGCTGTAAGTCCTATGCCTCCGCAACATAAGCACTACCACCTTGAAAGACGGAAAGGTGCCAAAAGTATCTAGAAAGATGGAAGGCTGCCAACAACGAAACAGTAGACACAATACCAGCTAAAAGACATCAACACCTACTTCTGTTTGACATTGCTGGCTTCCTTCAGGTCCCAGACACACATGCTAGAGTTCTTGTAGGCTGTGATCAGCAGTGTAGTGCTGGGGTTGAATACTAACGTGAACACTCCACTTCCATTCATGCAAGTCCGTTGGAAAAATGTTGGTGCCGGAAGTGCCGCAAGATGCTAGAACCAAGTAGAAATGGATCATAAATCTGCAACTGCAATGTTATTTATTCTTCCTAGTGATCATTAGGTGTAAACTTTGGCAGAAAATTCTGGTTGCTTGTCCACTTCTGAAACTTAAATCTTGTTCCAGAACTTGAGTTCTAGCTTGGACATCCGTTTTATGGATCTGTCTTATTTGTAGGCAGACTGCTGGTTCCTTGATTGATGCACTCCGACTTTGAAGGAAATACCCCTAATTAGTCGACTTTCAAGACATGATTTTAAGGGAGGCAGTGGGTCCATTCTTGTTATTCCCCCCACAATGGAAACCTGGAACTCAAACAACAAACTATTTATGAAAGTTATTCTGATTTTCAATTTAAAGATGTCTTCTTTTTCTTCTTTGTTTGCCACGCTTTTACTTTGGACATAATTGCATTGTGTCTGTTACAGCATAGCTGTATTACGCATAATTTTTGTGTCCAGCTGCCGCATGTAATTTCTTCCAGGTCATTCAAATTGTCAGTTTGACCTTCTTTATCTGATTTGCCCCTTTGGGTGCTGTGCTGTTTAGTCTGTTTTTGTACTTCTTTCTATGAGTGCCTATCAATACACTGTGTGCTTGTTTATTATATATAACATTTCTAGGGCCTCAAGTCCCCCCCCCCCTCCCCCAAATTTATTTATGAACTTACAAGCAGGGATATTGCATCAAACATGTGGATATCTCCACTGTTGAACCCAATGAACAAGATTTGGTCTTGCACCTTCAGGCAGTTTCCCTTGAACTCTTCAATGCTCTTGTGACTGTGTATAACCCGATCAGTGGCCTTGACCTGTTTGTAATAATCAGTATAAACATATTTAAAGTTACAGATAGTGTCAATATAATCAATACACTTTTATAAACTAATTAAAGTTATAAATATTTGTCAATATAATCTATACACTTTTATAAACCCTATGCACGCTTTATATATATATATACACACACACACACACACACACACACACACACACACACACACACACACACACACACACACACACACACACACACACACACACACACACACACACACACACACACACACACACACACACACACACACACACACACACACACACACACACACACACACACACACACACACACACACACACACACACACACACACACACACCACACACACACACACACACACACACACACACACACACACACACACACACACACACACACACACACACACACACACACACACACACACACACACACACACACACACACACACACACACACACACACACACACACACACACACACACACACACACACACACACACACGGAAATGAACAGGCAGACAGCCTGGCTGGCTCTGCACAACTTGGTGGAATACTGTTGATAGATAAGGCAGACATGGTTAATGCCTTGTGGGAGAACATGTACAGTTCGGGGAGCAGATGGATCATCACAGTCTGGTGAGATTGATGCAGTTGCGAGTGATGAGGGGTTCTGGCAGATGTTCGAGGCTCAGAGGAAAAGCAAGGCGGACGCTTAATCAGAATGCTACTGGCACCATTGGTATTGAAACTCTGCACTGGCTGCTGAAGACTGGGGATGGAGCACTTATGGGAATGCCCTGACTGCTGTCATGTGGTTCTTGAATCAACTCAACTCCTTTACAGTAGGTTGCAGAACCAATCCAAGCATTTTGTGTGTGTGTGTGTGGGTTGTTTGTGATTTTACTAGCCAATTTTACTTTAAGTAGTTTGTTACTGCTTTTCTGACTGGTCTGCTTTCGATGCCTCTATCAAAACCAACACAAAGCTGTCTGCTGCCAAACTGCCTGCAGCTCTGATTTAACCGGGGACCTTGACATTATAAAGCTTGTTTGCAATATCAGAATCCATACGCTCAATGTTCTACTGGTGTAAAAAAACATCTTTTAGCTTCAGCTGAGACATCAGCATGATGATAAAGAAAGTAACAATTATGAAATGATGAATAGGACACTAATCATGATGATGATCTCAAAAGTCCTTAACATTTCACTGTCCGTTTAAATCCTTCCAAAATCGAGGCAAAATAAAGTTTTATGAAGATGGCGGCGTCGGCCCCGGCTTCAACCCCCCAACCTAGAGGACCAGGGTGTCTATCTCTGTTCTCTACCCTTTTACCTTTTTCGGCTTGGGAGACTCTGCTGGTAGCTACGCTACTGCCGACATAGCTCTCAGAGTCAAGAAATACAAGCTCCTCCACCACACAGGGTGGAGACACCTTCATTGTCTTTTTAAATCACCACTGATCACTGGCATCATGAGAGCTAATAGACTGAGATGACTGGAGCATACTGAGAGAATGGCAGATGACAGAAAGGTAAAAAACTTTACACACAAGTGAGCTAAACAGTCATAGACCACGAGGCAGCCCTAGATGACAATGGCGAGATAATGACCAGACAGACCTGCAAACACTTGGTGTCACCAACTGGAAAGAGAAGGCCAACCAGAGGAAGGAATGGAGGCGGGTGATATCTGCAGCTATGAACCTCAAGGGCTCAGACTGCTGAAGAAGAAGAAGAATGATGATGACGATGATAACAAACTATAACTATCTTACTATAACCAGGCCCCAATGATGATGACAATGATAACAATACTAAAACTATCTTACTATAACCAGGCCTCAAAGATGATGACGATGATAACAAATACTATAACTATCTTACTATAACCAGGCCTCCATTTTTTGTGATGCAATAAACAAACTCAGCACTGCTTCCATTACCACAGGCCAAATCAACAAATGTGTGTTGCTTGCAGTCACCAAGTAGTCCTGGCCGTCCATATAAGCACTGTACTAGAGTGAAGTGTAATGATCAGACACAGAAGTACCCTAGAGTGAGGTTTGATAATTACATAAGTACTGTATTAAATATGTAAGCACTGCATGGAAGTGATGGTATTAATTTGATATACATTACTAGACTGATGTATTATAGTTAGATATACACTGCTACACTAGAAGAGGTGTAAGGATTAGGTACTATATACTAGGGTGCTGCATACTGATTACATATACAGTACTGTTTGTGCAGTTAGCTTTATCTTTGCCACTGGGTATGCTGGTGTTGTTGGTAGTTAAAAAGCTGACATTCTGGCAGCTTCTGCCATAATTGTAGATAGCTGCCTATGAACTGAGCCAACACTGTTGATGCTCTTAAAGAGATAGAATAATCAGAGGTTTTTTAGGGCAGCGTGCCCACGTGACTGCTAAGAATCTGAAAGCTAGGAGTGAAGATCAGCACAGTCAGGCATGAGAGGCACTCAGTCGTATAAGAAGTCTTGTTAACCAGCAATATTAACCGTGACAGGTTGATGTGTATGTTGAGGGAATCTGAGCACTAATGCACATGTACAGAGTGCCATGAAGATTACCCAACTCATAACTCAGTACTGTACTGTAGTTTCTTCTTCTTCTGCGTTCGATATCAGTCATGCTAAACATTGAGTCCCGTCTGGGTCACAAATAGGATTGTGCGTTTAAGGTCGCCACCGGTCCCCCATAGCTTCTCTTGCAATGTGGCTCCTTTGGGCCAGATCCACAGTCTTTGCTGGGAGAGGTAAGGGCAGTACTGCAGTATGTGTTCAGGGGTTTGTCTTTCTGCTCCACAATCACAGGCAGCAGATTCTTTTATGCCTATCCTGTACAAGTGTGCTCGAAGACCACAGTGTCCAGTCCGAAGTCTAAGAATTGATGTTTGTTCTTTCCTGTTGAGTTTGTTTATGCTGTCACTCTCTGGTCTGTAATCTCCATTCTGCCTTCTCCACTCCCGCTTGAAAGACTGCTTTAGCGCTGTTTTGGTTTCCTTGTAGCTGTGTGGTGGATGAGGTTGTGGAAGATTACTCCCAGCTTTTGCCAACTCATCTGCTCTCTCATTTCCTTGAATACCGCAGTGGGCTGGTATCCACTGCAAGACCAGTTCTGCTTCCTTGGAGAGTAAGCCAATGTTGGTCCTTAGATCAGCAATTATTTTGTCTTGTTTTTTGCTGGATAGTGCTTGGAGAACAGACAATGAGTCGCTAAGTATAACAATTTGGTGCTCTCTGTGTTCTTGAGTGATGAGATGTTGGACTGCAGAGAGGAGAGAGTTGCCTCAGCTCTGAAGTTAGTGCAGATGTCACCTGCTGGTAGAGAGAGAGTTTCTGCTCTACTGCTAGGGGGTTTAATGTAAATTCTACAACCCCCCTTTCTGACTGCATCTGTAGCAGAGCCGTCGGTGAAAACCTGAGTCCAAGTGGTGTTTGGATACTTCTCATCAAGCATAGCAAGAGCCAGGGTTCTCTGTTGTGTCTCCGTCTGGGCATCTTTTGAAGTGATTCCTGGTACCTTTAGGACTACATTTGCTTTCTCTGGCTTGCTTGTCCATGGTTCTGGCCTAAGTTTTTCGCACAGTGCAACATCTCTTTCAAGCAGATCTTGGTGCTGTCTGTACAGTTCTCTAGCAAGGTGGTTGGGGCTCTGACGCTTCAGTCTGTTTTTTGTTCTCTCTTGAAATTTAAAATGCAGTGGGTGACTTTGAAGTCTTTTTAATTTCTCATACTGTAAAAGAGTTTTGTATTGTCTTCTGAGTTCGAGTGGTTCAGTATCTGCTATCTTTTCTATTTCTCTGATGGGGGTGGTTTTCATGGCTCCGAGAACAATCCTTAATCCCATATTCTGAACCTTGTCCAGTTTTCCCATTGTTGTCTTGGCTGCTGCAGCCCATGCAGTGGAGGCATATTCCATGACTGGCCTGACTGCTCCAGTATATACTTGTTTTAGGACTCTAGAGTTAGCGCCCCATGTGGTACCCGCTAATTTTTTCATAACTGCAAGCTTCTTGAATGCTTTTCCCTGTACTGCTTCTACATGTGACTTCCAAGTTAGTCGCGAATCAAGTGTAAGGCCCAGAAAGGTAGGAGAGTCTGTGGAATGAGCTGGTTTTTATTCCAAATTTTGATTTTTTCTTTTTTTGGGGAGAGAGAGAAAAGTGATGCTGTGCTTTTTGATTTATTTAGCTTTAGACCCCACTTTTCGGTCCAGGCTTCTACATTTTCCACAGTTTTTTGTAACAGATATGAGGCTGTGGTAGTGTATTCGGAGGCTGTCCAAACTGCAAAGTCATCGGCATGTAGGGTATTAAAAACGTGCTGGTGGCAGGTTGCTGTGATATCATTAATGTAAATCAGGAACAGAGTTGGTGATATAGCACTGCCCTGGGGAACTCCTTCTCTAAGTTTTGCCAGTTTGCCAATGTGTCCATCAATTCTGAATCTGGCTCTGCGTTGGAAAAGAAAGTCTTTGATCCACTTGTACATGTTGTGCACAACTCCTGCCTGTAGCAGTTTTAGTTGTAGGCCTTCTTTCCAAACTGTATCAAAAGCACGAGAAAGGTCAAAAAAGACAGCAAGAACTTTCTTTTTTTCCTGGAAGGCATTCTCAATTTCCTGTGTCAGATATGTCAACTGGTCCTCTGTATTTCTGTGCTGTCTGTATCCTGTCTGGGTGGTGGTGATTACTGAGTTTGTCTCCAGGAACCATATTAGTCTTTTATTTACTAATTTCTCCATCAATTTTCCTATACAACTAAGAAGGCTAATAGGTCTGTAGCTTTTTGGGTCTCTTCTTTCTCCACCCTTTTTAAGGATAGGCTGGATGAGGGCTTCCTTCCAGGCTGACGGTACCACCCCTTTTTGCCAGCTCTGGTTGTAGATGCAGAGGAGAAACTTCTTGGCAGCAGGTCCAAGATGAGAGAGAAATTCGTTTGTAATGCCGTCAGCCCCTGGGGC